TAGGTTTTGGTGATGGTGGAGGAGGAGATTTGTAATAGTAATGTGGTGGAGACTTAGTTGGTGGTGGTGGAGATTTGTAATAGTAAGCTGGTGGTGGTGGAGATTTATAAACGTATGTCGGTGTTGGGGGAGGTGGTGACTTGTACACATACTTTGGTGATGGAGGAGGTGGCGACTTATAAACATAAGTTGGAGTAGGTGTAGGCTTGGCCTTCTGGCATGCTGCATAAGGTGTTTTAGAGCCATAAGCAAATGGTTTAGCTTTGAGAACAACTTCATATTTATTCTTTGACTTCACTTTGAGGTTAGCACCCTTTATTCCCCAATGAAGATTTGTAGGAATGCTACACTTTGAATCCTTAGGAGCATTGTGGAGTTTAGCCTTGCAAGCCTTTGCTCCATATTTGCGATATTCAAATCCTTCAACTGTGATGCTAAATTTACCGTTGTTCTTAGTGGTACCATAACTCACAATTTTCTTGTCACCAGTTTTGCAAGTTACCTCAACAACAGCGTCTAATTCATAGAAAGAAGAAATAATAATCAATTAATACTAAAAATAAATTGAATTTACAAATACACTTCTAATGATGAATAGTAAACTGTAAAGAATTTTTTTTTGAAGTATATATTTGTACCTTTGAGGTGTTTCTTAGCATGAGACTTTTCTGGGTAATCCTTATCATAGCATCTAAAGCAGTAAACTTTTCCAACAACCTTGACCACAAAGTGGTGATGTGGAGGATAATAGTGAGTAGGTGGTGGTGGGGAAGTGTAGTAGTATGGTGGAGGAGATGATTTCTTTGGTGGTGGTGGTGAAGTGTAGTAGTATGGTGAAGGAGATGACTTAGCTGGTGGTGGTGGAGAAGTGTAGTGATATGGTGGAGGAGGTGATTTCTTAGGTGGTGGAGGAGAGATGTAGTAGTATGGTGGAGGAGGTGACTTAGCCGGTGGTGGTGGAGAAGTGTAGTGATATGGTGGAGGAGGTGATTTCTTTGGTGGTGGAGGAGAGTTGTAGTAGTATGGTGGAGGAGGAGACTTCTTCGGGGGTGGTGGAGAACTATAGTAATATGGTGGTGGAGGTGACTTCTTGGGTGGGGGTGGGGAGTTGTAGTAGTAAGGTGGGGGTGGCGAAGACTTAGGAGGTGGTGGAGATTTATAGTAGTAGGGTGGTGGAGGTGACGGTGATGGTGGTGGAGGAGATTTGTAATAGTAAGGTGGTGGTGGAGAAGGCGAAGGTGGTGGTGGAGATTTATAGTAGTATGGTGGCGGTGGTGAAGGTGAGGGTGGTGGTGGAGATTTGTAATAATATGGTGGCGGAGGTGACGGTGAAGGTGGCGGAGGAGATTTATAGTAATATGGTGGAGGTGGTGATGGTGATGGGGGAGGTGGAGACTTGTATACATATGGTGGTGGTGGAGAAGGCGATGGAGGTGGTGGAGACTTATATACATATGGTGGTGGTGGAGACGGAGAAGGAGGAGGAGGTGATTTATAGACATATGGAGGCGGGGGAGAAGGTGAAGGAGGAGGTGGAGATTTGTACACGTAAGGTGGAGGCGGAGAAGGAGAAGGAGAAGGAGGTGGTGATGACTTGTACTCATACGCGGGAGGAGGTGGAGAAGAATATACATAAGGGTCAGCCGACACTACATTAGCAACAACCAACACAGCCAACGCCACTAAGATCAGCCGCCAATGACGACCCCTCATAGGGCCGCCACCATTAAACTTCATTTTTCGCCGGAAAACACCACCACCAACCCCTCAAATATGGCTACAAAAATCTCCAAAAGTTAAAGAGAGAAAGACTTAGAGTGTTATAGTTGAGAAGTGATGAATTTAGTTGATTGAATGTACAAAGTATTTATAGTAACATTTTATGAATAACTACTAGCTGGTATAGAGTTGTCAACAAGTGACCAATTCAATTAATCTAATTGTTAATCAATGATTAAAAAAAATATATATTAAGAACTTAAAACAGCTAGATAAATTTTTTAATATTTTATTTTTAAAGTCCATTACTAGATCACTTTGAATTTTCCATGCAACTTCTTTAACAATATAAACATATCATAAAATGGTTTAAGACAAGTGAGTGCTAATTTAAAATTATTTCCACTTCTCTTGCATTTTTTTGAACTTTTTGTTTTGTCTCATATAGAGTGAGATCTCACAATTATTTGTGTTTTTCTATTTACAAAAAATAATTATTTATGTAGCATGTTCTTTTGCATAACATTATGGAATATCATTAGGTGGACGAGATATTTCTTTAAATTAATGAGCTCTTGAGTTTGAATTTTAGAAATAAAGAAAATACTGGTTGGGAAATAGGCCCTATACATCGGAAATTTGAATTAGTTGAGTCGATAAATTTCTAATACAATGATTATAATGGAAAATACCACATGAAAATCGCCCCCTAAAATTAAATTAAGAATTACCTAATCATATTTGTTTTGTTTATTACAATTTTCTGAATTGTAAGTGTATATACATAAAATTAATAATACAAGAAAACATTTCTGTCATTTTTGTTTAATTACAGGGAATATTGGATATTAATCCTGACATTATACTAATTTAATATTACAAGCCGACATAAGTTCAATTATTTCCTTAGTTGACTTTATTTTTTATTATTAATTATTTCTTAATGAGGATTAGTGTATGTTTGTCAATTACTAATGAATTTTGATTTTGATCTTTATAATATTAGACGAAATATATTCAACTTTCAATGAATTTAAAAGTGGATAAATTATTTTCAGAATTATATTATCTTGAAAAAATGGAGTAACAATATAATTTCATAAAATAACATATATATTATTTTTTTCTTATATTTTCATTGTAATAATATTTGAAAATGCATGTGAATTTTTCAATGATGAAATTAACTACATGTGGATGCAATACTTAATAATTCTTTTTGCAGCTTTTTAATGGTCCAATATGTTGAGCAAAAAAGGATCATCAAAAGCATAGAACAAACTAGACATGGATTTTTATTCTTTTAGGGCGCATTATGATGGAAAATTGTTTATGTTTTATTTTGAATTTTTTGATGTTTGGTTGTAAGAAGATATTTTGGCATTATACATAAATAAATATGATGTATACTTTGGCTTCGAGTGATATCTATGTCCTTTAAATTCAGATGTATATAAGTAGTCATTCAAACTTGTTCAAAATTGAACAAACAGATACATATATACCTCTTACATGACGTCTTATGTGGACAATTTGCATCATACATGTGGTATCCTACGTGTAATATGTCACATAAGACGTGCGCATCTAATTATTCAATTTTATACAAGTTTTTAAGTGTCTACTTGTGCACACTCAAAGTTTGAGTACGTAAATACCAATTAAAGTCAAGTTAAAAAAACACATTTATATGTTATGCCGAATATTTTTTTCTGTAATATTCCTTTTTTCACTTTACGTGAAAGTCATTTTCCTTTATAATTATAACGATTCCGAATTTTGGATCGAAATTTTATTCAGTACTTAGTTATTATTGATGAATTTTGCGTGTGGAGAAATAATCATGGTTATGATCTTCTTATTGATTCGTGCACAAACTAAAGAAATACAATTTAATTAGTAGGAATGAATAAAAATGAGGATATCCTCAATACAACAATAAATTACAAATAATCAAACACTATGAAGCATTGTTCCATTGACGTTTATTTTGTGCTTCAAACTAAAACCTGAAAAGAAACAACCAAAACGAAAATTAGAGCCATAATTTAAAGAAAATATACAAAATTAATCTATAAAAAAAATCACAATTCAAATGTCAACTCACTTGATTGATTGTGGAGAATGATTGAACTCTTGAAGTTTCTTAGTAGTGGATGGGAGGTGGTGGTGAAGCGTAAATATATACCGGTGGAGGAGGTGATTTCAGGGGTGGAGGTGGAGAGTGGTAGTAGTACGGAGGTGGTGGAGAAGGTGACGGTGGAGGAGGGGACTTGTAGTAGTAGGGTGGAGGGGGAGATGGTGATGGTGGTGGAGGAGACTTGTAGTAGTAGGGTGGTGGAGGAGATGGTGATGGAGGGGGTGGTGATTTGTAGTAGTATGGTGGAGGGGGA